TCCCATCTCCGTCCCTTCCACACACAAAGGGATAAGGGGAAGGGCCGGGGGGAAAAAATAAATACATTGAAAAAAAAAAAAATGAAAAAAAAAAACGCCAAAAAAAAAAAAGAAAAAAGGCCAACACACACATCAACCGTGGACTTGAAGCAGAGAACCAGGAGCATGGTCCCACTGGCAACGGGATAGGGTAGAAAAGAGTTCGTGTGGCAGTTGAGTTTGACCCAAATCCTGCCGTGCAGTACTCGTGATTCCACAGTTAGTATATTACAGGAGATATGTGTTCCCCTCCTCCTCTCCTTAACACTGGGCATGCCCATGCAAAGGAAGCTTCCCGCCAAAATCTTTTCAATCCGTTGGTGGTATGGCCAACCCCAAAAGAGGGTGGGATCGGCCATAGGCCCACTGGATAGAAGATGTTCAGTATTTTGCTTAAAATTGCTGTTGTGCAATTATTATCTAATTGGGTGGAGCCCTCCTTCAATCACGGAGTACATAGTAATCAGTGAGGGGATTCCGCAGACTGTTGAGGGTTCAGCCTCCTGATGAGTCGGTGAAACTCCGACGAAACAGTTTGTCACAGCCCCTCGTTTGTTGTCCTCTTCTCTCTCTCTGCCTACGGTTTACTGGGCAGTTCTGTTTGTGACGATATATGGAGGGCGTCATGATGATCACTGCTGACAGAAGTCGAGTTTTTATTCCAGAAAAAGAATGTGGCAGTTACTTTGTTCACTGTTGTGGGGACCACCACCACCCACCATCAGATCATTTGTGATCTGATGGCTGGGAAGCGCTCTGTCGTGATTTCCGGTGGGAGGTCTCTGTTTCTTTTTTTTCTTTTTTTTAAAAAATTATTATTATTATTAATTTATTATTAATTTTATTATTTTATTATTATTATTATTATTATTTTTTTTTTTGGCCTTTCTCCTTTTTTCTCAGCCCAGAAATTCGTAATGAACCTGGCAGGCCGCTGCCACTCAGTTTCGCACTGGATCGGCCACACCTCTAACGGACTGCTAATGGGACCATGCCCCAGGGGGAGCACCGGGCACAAAAAAGAAAAAACAACGAAAAAAAAATCCATTGGGGAAAAAAACCGAAAAAATATCAGCATCGACTGCCGCTAAAGAGAGATACAAAAAAAAAAAAAAAAAAAAAAAAAAAAAAA